TTACCAATTACCACTAGTTCTAATCCATTTTATGTGCTATAACCAGACTAATCTCCTGAGGCAGAAGAAAAATCCTAGCAGTCTTCCTACTTGAATCTTTCTCTTTTTAGTTACTTTTTATTATAGAAAGTTTCAAAAATATATTTTAAAAAAAGGACTGCATAATAATTGTGTGCCTATCATCTAGCCTCAATAATTATCCCCTCAAGACTTGTTACCTCTATACCTCAACCCACTGGGTAATTTCAATCAAAGCTCAGACATCATATAATTTCATCTGTAAATAGTATTATTTCCCTTCCTTAAATAATGACAAGGTTATCATCCCAGCCCTCCAAATCAACAATCACTCTTCCATAGCATCAAATTTCCAGTCAATGTCAGCATTTTCATTATTGTCCTGTAAGTCATCATCATTGTCTTTTTCTTTCATTTGCAACTTGTTTGCATCAAGAGAGACATAATCTAAATATTGTGATTGGTTAATCTGCTTCTTAACCCTCTTTTAAGCTATTTAGGTTCCCCCTTCATTACTTTTTCTATTTTGTTTTGTGTCTTTTCAAAATTGTTTTGTTGAAATTGTAGTCTTTAACTTGGTTTTTAACCAACCTTTAACAAGTTTCATTACCACTAGTCTTCATTTATATCAAGTTTCAATTAAATGATATCCTAAATGTGGTCACTTTAAAATACATTCACGAATTCTTTGCCATTTCTCTCTTCAAGCAATGCAGCTTATTAATAACTACAGTCCCTTTGAGAGTGGACTCAGCTAAGTGACTCATTTCTAATGAGTGGAATAGGTGGAGGTGAAGGTGTCCATACAGGACCACAACGGGCCTGTGGCCGGGGGTTCACCTGCTCAGGAAGAAGCCGGCGGCCATGCTGTGAGGATGCTCAGGCAGCTCTGTGGAGAGTCCATGTAGAAAGAAAAGAAGTCTCTTGCGACAACCATGGCAACGAGTCACCTTGGCAGTGGGTTCTCCAGCCCCAGGCGAGCCACCCCTGCTGACGGCAACCTCACAAGAGACCCTGAGCTAGAGCTTCCAGCAAGCACCTCCTGGGCTCCTGACCCACAGACTGTCAGACAACAAACGTTTATCGCTTAAGGCTGCCACATTTGTGGGGACTTATTACACATCAGTAGACAACTAATACACTAGCCTTTCTGGTGTCACATCATTGTTTTTCCTAGAAATGCTCTTCTCCAGTTCTTTGTGTCCAAATTTAACCATCTTTTCAATGTCCTCCATGTCCTCCGTGCTCCAAAATCTGTAAATGATTATTCCTTCCTTCAATTTCCTAAAGAACTTTGTATCTGCTTCTAAGTCAAGCTGTCTAAAACCAATGTGGCCAAAGGTTAAACAAATTCATCTAACCCTCACCTGCCTAAACTGTGTAGTTTCAACATTACAGTTTTACTAAAGTCCCCGTTCCTCGAATAGGCCAGGCATAACCCCCTCTGGAGCTTCTGCCCCAGCCCCACACATCTCCAAGATCCACACCCCCACCTCCTCCTCACTTAAATATCACCTTCTCAAGAGAACCTTCCCTGACAGCCTATTTAAAGCCACCAGATCCCCCCTCCTCCCTATCTCACACCCACCCACACTCCCTGCCCATCTTTGCACTTCTATTCTCTCCACACCACCAACCACAATCTAAGATATGCTTTAAATACAGCACTCATTATCTGCCCGCTTCCAGACTATAGGCTCCAGGAAGGAAGACATTATGTTTAGTTGTTTCAGTGCTACACCCTGAGCCCCCAAACAATGCACAGTACATACCATGCGGTCAATAAAAACCACAACGATCGAGACTGTAAACGATCAAGACTGTAGCATCTCACATGGCACATTAGGGATGTAACACTAACCACACTTTCATATTTTAGGTGTCTTTATGTCTACAAAAATTTTTACTTCTTTTTGGCCACACCTCTCAGTATGGTCCTCTCAGGGATCTTAGCTCCTGGACCAGGGATTGAATCTGTGCCCCCTGCAGTAGAAGCACAGAGTCTTGACTACTGAGCTGCCCGGGAAATCCCTGTCTACAAGCATTTTATGGAGCTTAATTAATTTCCTCCTTCACTAGATAAAAACAAAACCAAAACCTGAAACACCCTAAAGTAAGCAATGGTAGGAAAGCCGCTTAAGAATGGTTACATTTCTCAAAAGTAGCCAAAGTGATCCTATCACATGTGCCTCCTTGGCAGTTTACATTTCAGGTGATGTCTCCTTACCTAAATTCATCCCATGAGTCAACCACACCACTCCCTTGGGACCCCTCTCAAGTGATAACATCTGTCATTTCAAAATCTCCTTAAGAACAGAACTGGGTCTTATACATCTTAATACTCGCTGCAGTGCCCAGATAACAGGGCAACTGACAAAGGTCTATTATGAAACCATCAGAATTATTAGCATCTTGGGCCATCTCTCCTCCTCACCCAAAAGGACATAGTAGTAGCCACACCCACAAACACATGCCTATCATGAAAAATAGCATCTTCATTCAGCAGATGAAGTCTCTAAAGCATATTATCTAATGACTTCTATTTTCCCAAAGCCAAATTGGAGCTGAAACCTTAGCCTCCTCTTTGACTCAAAACATTCTCGTCTAAATTACACTGCTGCTACCATAAAAAGAAAGAGGGAGGAGGAAGGAAAGGTTGCTCCTTTATCTGACACCTGACATATGATTCTCACTAATAATCCACATATACACATCATAGAGGGTCACATTCTAACAGGGGATGATGATATTCAAGATGAATGAAGTTGCTCGTAAATGACTTCACAGTTTATACTAGAAAAAAAATAACTGCAATGCACAGTAATCTGACTCCTGATCGCCAAGGCATAGTTCAACACAGAATTGTTCTTTGTTTTTAAGAAACAGAACAACACTGGAAGAGGGCTGTCTGGCTATGATATACTCAAAGTTTTATTTCATTTCAAAGATGCATAGTCACATTTGTGTTCTGACACATAAAAAAAGGGCTACTATCCTTTGGAGAAGGGGTCAGCAGACTACACTTCAAGGGTCAAAGCTGGCCCACAGTCTGTTTCTATATGGCCAATAAGCTAAGAATGATTTTTACATTTTTTAATGACTGAGAAAAACAAAACAGTATTATTGGGTGCTATGAAATTTATATGAAACTCAAATTTCAACATCATCAATAAAGCTCTATTGGAACACACACACTCATCCACTTACACACTATCTCTGGCTGCTTTTGTGAGGGATTGAGAAGCTGTCACAGAAACCATACATCCCACAGAGCTCCAAATAGTTACTATCCAGCCCTTTACAGAGAACCTTTGCCTCTGCTTCAGGGTGTGGACGCTGGAGCCTGGCTGCCTCCATTTAAGCCTAATATATATTCTCCTTGCTGCTGCTCTGTCGTGTCCAACTCTTCGCGACCCCATGGACTGCAGCCCACCAGGCTCCTCTACCCATGGGGTTCTCCAGACAAGAACACTGGATGGGTTGCCATGCCCTCCTCCAGGGGAGCTTTCTGACCCAGGGATCAAGCCCGCATCTCCTGTATCTCCTGCATTTAGCCGGATTCTTTACCACTGAGCCACCACGAAAGTCCATATATTCTCTTTATTCAGCCTCTATCTTAACACTTACATTCACTTATTAACTGTGTAAGCCTGAACACATTGTTTCACCATTCTGTGCCTCAGTTTCCTCATATGTAAAATGGGGTTAATAATGGCACCTACCTGCTGGGGTGTCATTGTGAGTTATAAACGAATGAAATGTACAAAGCGTGTGAAACAGGACCTGGCAAGCAGGAAACAGTTTATTAAGCACAAGCTATAACTACCATTCCTTCTTGCTGAGGGCTACAGGATGAGTTTTCAGATGAAACGGTAGCAAAGTGGTTAGATTCCAGGGCAACATCCCAAATCTCTTCAAAAAGGCAGAACTGAAGTAGGAGGCAAGAAGGAAAGAGAGGGGAGAAAAATAAAATCAGAAAGAAGAGAACGGAGGAGGGAATAAGAGAAAGGAAAAAGTTATCAGGACCTCACTAGCAAGGACAGTAGGTGGCCTATTCACAGGGGAAGTATAAATTAGGGTAATTTCATCTGCAGTAACGGATTAAATCACTTTTGTGGGCTGACGGGATACTAATCACCAGGTAGAAGCTATCTCAGGGGCTGGGGAGGGAAGCATTCAAAATTCTAAGCAAGTGACTTACAGATGAACTGCTAGGTCATTTTTAAGTTGAGCACTTCCTGTATTTTACATTCCTAGACAAATGACAAGTGATAGCTATAGTAAATTCTGCATCTTGTTATCCACATAGAGTAGCTAATTAAAAGGAAACAATTTGTGTAAGGACCCTGTCTTTACAGAGTGCTCATTTTGTTCAGAATAGCACTGACTTCCTAATGCTAAAAAAAAAAAAGTTCCTATAAATAAAACACAAGCTCATTCACCAAAAATGGACCTGCATAGCAACTGAGAGGTAAACAGGGTGTTTACTAGAAGATACACTTCACTTGCTACAGAGGTAGAATAATTCTCTTTCCCAAGATGCACTTTCATTTGAATCCCTTCTCTGTGCAAAGGTGAGTTCCTACCTTCTCCATGTACCTATAAAATTACACTCACCGCTTCTCTTTTTGCATTATGATTTCAAAAGCTTTAAAGCACCCCCCACTTCAAAAAAATAAAGAATTTTTTTAACTCCACCATAATCAAACAACTATATTATTCCTTTCCACCCTTGATCCCCTTAATCCTCACCACTTCTTTGCTTAATGCTTGTGGTAAATCTTCCCTGCAGAGGCTAAACACACATATCAACTATTTTAAAGAGACTTGATGTGTAAACATAAAACGCAAAATCTTAAGGAAGGACATTATTATCCGAGTGATTTCTGCAAATTGTGCAGGAAAAGAAGAGTGATTTAAAGCAATGCATCCAAGAGAACATTAAGATGCTCCCGAGCTGGAGGCAAGTTCAAAACACTCACTGAGAATGGATCTGCTGGGAGAGTCCCACTGAAGGCTTCGGCTTGAGGGTCAAGGTCATCTGGGCCAGAGGACTGACTCTTGGGAGAAGGTCTGCCTTCTTAGATGAAGTGTGCTTCGAGGCTTGCTCAGGAGGGACCCAGGAGGAAGCGGCCGCAGGACTCTGCCCTCCGAGGCCTGGGGACGAGGTGTCCTGGGCAGCCGTTGTCTCACAGGCTTGGCCCTTGGTCCCTGGTTTACACACACACAGCTGAGGTCGGAGACACATCCCTCCATTCTGACACGGTGGAACACAGCTTGCTGTGGGAAGACAATAGAAGACACATTTTGAAGGAGAGCAGTACAGACTTCACTAATTTTTCCAGATGCTTACCACTAGCATTGGGCTGTTCCTCAATGAAATAAAATGATGATGATGATAATAGCAAATATTTATTAATCGTTTCATACATGCCAGGCATTGTTTTAATAGATACTGACAAATGAACCCCCCACCCCCAGCAACTGATTTAAGGAGATGTTTTATTTTCCCCATTTTACTGATGAAGAATCAGGCATGGGGTTGTAAAATTTGCCAAAAGTCCCACAATCATCAGTAAATAAAAGAGCTTGGATATGAATTCAAGTGAACTGGCTCCAAAACCATATTTTTGACCACTTTACTATAGCTGCTGCTCAGAAATGCATCAGAAATACAGGGGGGGAGAAAACAAAGTACTCTGTCCTTTTTTAAGTCGTGTTCCATGGCTTAAGTTTAAACTTTGGGTATCCAAACAAGTCTTGGCAAAAAAAAAAAAAAAGAAGCCCAGTCCCAAACCCAAACCCCCCAAGAGGGTAATGGCCTTCATCTGGCATTAAGCTATCAAAAGCTTGGAGTGACTGTTCAGAAATTTAGTCAACCTATTTTTTTTTTTTTTGGAAAGAAAAAGCAAAGGTAGAAAGATTGAAAGTCATCTAATATACACTTTTATACACGCATTATATATTCTGAAAGCCAGTACACCCTTAATCTTATAACAAAAGACAATCAAAAAGAAACCACCTGTTTATCTCCTATTAGCTAGGATGCATTTACTTTGGATTTTTGGTTTTTTTTTTTAATATGGACCATTTTTAAAGTCCTTATTTAATTTGTTACAATATTGTGGATGTTTTATGTTTTTGATTTTGGGCCATGAAGCATGTGGAATCACAGCTTCCTGATCAGGGATCAAACCTACACCCCCTGCATTGGATGGCAAAGTCTTACCACTGGACGGCCATGGAAGTCCCATGAACGCATGTACTGTGAATCACCAGACTTGTGGCCAAACAGAGTTTTAAAGTTAGCAGGGCAATGGGTCACGGGCAAGGTGAGTGGATTTTATCACAGGCAAGGTCCCCTGGGAGTTTAGATGTTATATGTCATAAAATTCATGACTTAAATTTTATTAACATCATAGGCGTACAGACATGATTCCTTCAGACCCTTCTTTATTTTATTTGTACCATTTATTTACACCAGCCTTTTGGTATCAGCCCTCTTTGACTAAACTCTCTGTCCTGAGGCAGATCACAATACTAAACCTCCCATACAATTCAACCCAGGATTCAGTCTACAAGCAATTACAAAATAGATGAAGAATACACACCAGAGGAGGCTCAGCCATGGAGGAACCAATGATCAAGACCTGAAAACCCTGAAACCTCCTAATTTCCTATAAAAGAGAGACAATACTTCTCCTATTTTCCTATAATTCCTATTAGCTATAGAAAATGATAAGAAATAACTGTCAAGCATCAGAATACCAGGCTGACAAATTTTCTAAGAGTTGAGAAGGATTCTTAAAAAAAGGAAAAAAAGGAAAGAAGAACGCCGCCAGCTCCCGAGGTGACCCTGGGGTGAGTTACTTAAGCTTGGCCTCTGCACCTACGCAAGTCCCAGGGCAGGAGGAGGGCAGTAGCTGCTTTTCTAAAATGGTCCCCATGGGTTATTTCCATATTAGGCTTCTAGAAGTCAAAGTCAAAAAGCTATGCCCTTCGAGAGTTCAGGAGTCTGATTTATCCGTGCTTTCCTGGCCAACACAATCATCGGTCCCTCCTCAGCCACGCTTATTTATGGACCGTCACAGGAATGGAAATGGGCTCCACCCAGAGACAGCAGAAGTGGTCACCAGCGGGAAAGGACGGGGCTTTCAAAGCTGAGCCTCTGCCAGAGGTCACCCCCCACCCCCAGGCACTTTCATGTACACATTCTCTTCATGCTTTCAATTAGAAACATGTCTCGGTGTAACATCTGAGAATGATTTCCGCTTCTCCCTCCCAAGGTGTATTGCAAATGTCTACTAATCTCTCAGGAAGGCTGCACGAGTGGCTGACAAAAGCTGGTACCTAGGTGGAAGCCAAGCACAGACGTCTGCCCCAAAACACCCAGAAGGGCCAACAAGGGGCTGTCTGGAGGATGAGTTAGAAGCATAAAGGGTAGCCTTGGGTTTTTTTCTAACTCTTCCAATTTTGCATATGGAAGGATGAGAGGAGCAGGGAAAAAATAATAAAAGAAAAAAAAAAGAAAACCTTTAAACTCACACCAAAAAAGGACACTTTATATAATAGTAGTTACATATATATACAATACTATTCTTTCACAGTAAGGGTAGTATATATACAATACTATCCTTTCACAGTAAGTTTTAAGAGACAATAAGGAAACTGATGATTTTTCTCTTAAAAATTCTTCCATGTGACTAAATTCAAGATAATTATCAGTCCCTTTCAAAAATTTATACATTTGTCACTACATGGTCAGTGTAAAAATTTATAGGCGTGTATGAGAAAACTGTTATTTTTTTAAATTCAAGTATAGTTGACTTATAATGTTACATTAGTTTCAGGTGTCAGCACAGATATTTAGTACGTTTACAGATTCTACTCCAATATATCATTGTTGCTCCTCTATTTCATACACACTAGTTTGTATCTGCTAAGCCCATACCCCTAACGTGTCCCTCCCTCCTCCTCTCTCCCCTCTAGCAGTCACTGGTTTGTTCTCTGTGATGCTATTTCTGGAGAAAACTGTTATGCTAACGGAGGTATTGAACTATGTGGAATATTTTAAATCTTACGGAAGTTCTTTAAAAATGTTATCCATCAGTCATCCTGCATTTGCCCAGGCCAGCTGCGGTTCCACACAATGAGTGAACACTATGGAGATCTTATCAGCAGGTGGGGCAGTGGTTCTCAGGCTTTGCAGCACAGTAGAATCACCTGGGGAGCTTTCACACTGGCTCAAAACCCAGGTGTGACTCCAAGCTGATTGAATCAGAATCTCTGGGGAAAGGGGCTCACTGGTCACTTTCATTTTTCGGTTTTTTAACTCCCTGCTAAGCTGCTAAGTCACTTCAGTCGTGTCCGACTCTGTGCGACCCCACAGACGGCAGCCCACCAGGCTCCCCCGTCCCTGAGATTCTCCAGGCAAGAACACTGGAGTGGGTTGCCATTTCCTTCACCAATGCATGAAAGTGAAAAGTGAAAGTGAAGTCGCTCAGTCGTGTCCGACTCTTAGCGATCCCATGGACTACCGCCTACCAGGCTCCTCTGTCCATGGGATTTTCCAGGCAAGAGTCCTGGAGTGGGTGCCACTGCCTTCTCCTTTTAACTCCCTAGCTGATGGCAATGCGCAGCCAAACAGGAGACCTGACGGTAAGGGAATAAAATCCTACCAGACTTGCTGATCATCTTCCCAAAATGTTGCTTTTTGAATTTTTTCTCCTTCATTTAAAACTTTTCAACATATTCTAGCTGCCAGGAGATACATTCAAGGCCCTCACCTGGAACCCACCCCCTCTTTCCATCCTCATCACCCACCGCCCCCGGCCCACCCCTGCAAAAGCTCACCCTTTCTTGCCTCTGTACATAGGGTGCCCTGTCCTGCAACATGGGCCAGCCCCTCAAGTGCTTATTCATCTGAAACGTCCTGCTTCTCTGTGAAGTCCTCTCCAAATGCCCACTCACCCTGACCTCCTGCGCCATTTCCATCATCCACTTCACATCTCACCTGTATGGTCACATATATTAACCATCTTTTAACAAAGCTCTTTTATTTCCCAACTAGAATGTAAACCATGAGGTCAGATAAATGACTAAGACGGAACTTTTTGTACCCAAGGACGGGAGCCTGAACCTCATCTTGGTTGACTGACTGATGTCAAAGTAGATCCATCTCTTTCCAAGAATGCTGGAACTTCAGGACATCTATAAAAGGGAGATAATAAGTGGGTCCATAATAACATCTACACCCCTGGATGTGGTTTACCAGTTATTCAGTCAGTCTCCAAGCTTTCAAAGATGTTTTTAAATCAAAATTAATATCTAAGTATACTTTGCTAACATATACGGCCTGCAGTGGCATTTAGCAGCATGTATATTAAACAATTACAGAAGCTCAGATCCAACGCATTCTAGAAAAACTCTGAATGGGAGGAACCCTCTGAAAATGGTCATGAACTCACAAGAAAAGATCACACAGGGCTGATGGGAGCTGTGATAAGGTACTAAACCTCCAATTCAAAAGTGCATTAACAGTATTAGCCTAAGACATTCAGGTGAAGTTGGAAAAAGGCTTCTGAAAGCTTTTTTTTGTGAAAAGGAATTAGAAATGGGGGAAGCCCACAATTTATTAAGTAGATAATCCAATAAAAGGACTTCTGCTCGAGATAAGCAGAGTGAATTAACCTCTACCACATCTCCCATTCCAAACACAGAACAATCATTTTTAAAGACTTTTTTTTAGATTAAAGAAACAGACTTCCACAGCTGGGCATAATGGAATAACTGTTACCAAACAAGCCTTTTTGCCATGACAGCTAGAAAACTGGATGAAAGATATAAGACAACTGTTGTCAGATACCAGACAACTGGCAAGGATTCACAGTGAATCCTAAGAGAAGGGCATCAAGAGGGAGCCCTAGGATCACCGTAACCGCCTGCAGGAGGCACTCAGTCGACCACTATGCAGAAGGATCACCACGCACAGGGTGATAAAGGCTGAGAGACTGGGATCTGCAGGCAGAGTTCTGGACAGGAGAGGTCTGCGGAGAGTCCTGGAGCCTTCACCTGATACTGAGCTGCACAGGCTCAGAGAGCAATAAACTACCCAGGACCTGTACGCCGCAAATTCCCAGTCCTGGCCTACCAGAGTCAGGACATTCAGCACAGACCCCAGAACTCGACTCCCTTTCAAAGTAAAACCTCAACATCAAAACCAGGCAAGAACTGTACACAAAGAAGCACACACAAATGAAAACTCACACACAAATCACAGT